GACCAAAAGCAGAAGTGAGCCACCAGAGCCAGTGCAAGCACCTTCACGCCAGTCACCACTTCAAATTAATCATTTCGTCCCAACACGCTACAACTGAATCAAGGGGTGGTTTCGTATTGCAGAGCAATGACTACCGGGAGCGTTATACATTTTTTCGAAGGGAGTATTGCATTTGTCGGGTGGGTCCCACGATAGACCAAAAATACACAATTAGATCCCTGAGCCCTGATATTWACGTCACGCTCACCAAATTCACAGGAATGGTAGCTTAGTAACGAGCTGTGGAGGTTTCAAGTCGGTAGGTGAAAGGGTTGGGTAGGTTATACGATTTTTTGAACACATGGTTAGCGTCTACCTCGGAGCTCACCCGACAAACGTTATACTCACTTTGATGTTTGATGTTTGAAGCAATGATTAATATTTATTTGTATTTACTATTTTTTTTACTCAATTATTTTTGCACAGTAACGGATGCAAAACCTTTTAACAATATATATATATAATATTTTTGATTTCATTTGATTAGAGGGGTCATACAACATTTTGTCTTGGTAAATAATAATTTACCGATAAAAAAAATTGGTAAAATTGACGGTACATTTACACCACTCACATCTCTAGATCCCAGGCTTCCAATGAACTAATAATAATTAACCAATAATGTGATGAAAAGAGCAATCAGCTAATTAAATTAGCACATTTATTATTTAAATTATTTTATTATAGATATAAGATTGTAACTAATTCTACTTTGCTGCCTCTCCCGATAGACTTATTGAAAATGATAGATTAGTGTAAATAAGATATCCTTCTAGTGCTAAAAATGTATCTCCAAAATAAGCAACAGAAAACAAAATAATTAAATGTTGTGTATTGGAAAATAATGAATTATATTTAAAAACAAATGATAATTATTATCAAACTCAGGGTGCTTAGGTATATATTTCATGAAGAGATTATTGTTATTTTTGTACATGGACTCCAAAAGATAAATAAAATTTATAGTTTCTACATACATCTTTTATGCATTAAATTAATAATTATTTTCTCAAATAACATGTATTTTATTCGAAAAAAATATTGAGAGATGATAATTTTTGGGTATTGGATAAAATMTATGGAGCTCCAATTATCGTCATTGTATATGAATAGTATGATATTAGAATTAATTGATTCGAGATAATATGATCATGGGTTGCCAATCAGGGATGATTTTTAATATTACTTTTTAAATTATTTACTTAAAAAATAAGTTAATATTATACTAATTATTAATTATGAAATAATAAATTGATTGCACCATTTAAAACTATGCATTTTTGTGACATAAGAGAGCCGAGAATCATAGGTAGGCGATCCCAGGAACTTACTTCAGTCATAGTACATTTATTTACTTGATACTTTAACACTTACATTTCCATACTACACACATATTATGTATATATCATACAAACTTCTTTCAATTTCATTACACAGCATTTTCATTTTTATTTATTTTGTTTACAACAAGTAATTATTTATAAAAATTATTATAATTTTAAGTCATTACAATATTGTATTGACAACCAATAAAAAAAAACATGGTGGTTGAAATTTCAGCTGCAGATGCTACACCTGTATGATCGGCTATGCCAAGAATAGTGAGTATTAATAAAAAATAACACAAACGCTTTGCACGTACCTAATTGACATAAGTCTATCATTTAAAAATGTAATTGAAATGTAAATATTTTTTTCTTTTGTGTTTAAATATTTAAATATATAATTAGTATTATATTGAAACATAATAATAGTCATTTAAAAGTGTACGGTAAACCGGTGGGGTAAATTAAATACAGAGAGATAAAATATGAATAAACATTTATTTTGGTTATTATCATAGAAGTTCTGTGAGTACCCATAATATATTACAGCCGATAGGTAGGAAGTGATACGACAACGCAATATTGGCACAAACGATGAATAATGAATTACACACACTAAGAATCATTCACAACTCACACACTGACATCGTTGAAATATACGTCATGTAATATGAGTTACCTAAGTATTACTCTGTTAAGCTGCAAGTTGCAGCCTGCAACCCCGTCGCTTTTTATGATTACGAGGAACCTTATTTTTGTCTTTTTGAGGTTAAGAAATATTAATTTTATTTGATTCTTATTTAATTTAGATACTTAGTATAGGTACGACTTTAAAAATAAAGAATACATTTTGGATATTAATATTATGTTTAGATTATTTTGAGACAACATTTAGACTAATGAATAACTCACTCTCTCAAAAAATATTATTCACCATTAGTATATAATAGGTGATTTTATTTTAAGGTTATTCAAAAAAAAAAAAAAAAATGATTTTACGTAAATGCGTTTTGTCTATGGGCACGAGAGAGGAAATAAATAGTGCACTAACATCCTCTTATACATTTTATTCTACTTTGTGAACTTTTTTTGTTTTTTATTTACTAAAACTTTTTTTAAATGCAGTTATTATCATTTAACCATTTTACTCAATAAAGTCATTTAGAGTATTGATCACTTATTTTTTTAAATGCCATTAGTCATTAATTTTAAGCCCGGATTTATATGCATTTGCATGTTTATACTAAGTGTATTCACGTCTATAGGGGTTTAAAATATCCACGGTTCATTTCACACCGAATTTAAACTCCAAATACTGCATATTTTGAGAGTTACTACATATTTGTTAATAAATGTATATAACATGAATATTTAATGGGTTCTTAATAAATTTGCTATTAATAAACATACACTGGCGTCTCAGCTTACTATGTCGATAACATCTTATAAATAATCACATTGTGTATTTGCGTATCGTTATATAAGCTCTATTTATAAATCTTATTTAGTTAAATTCCAATACACTAGCCGTCAAAAATTATCGGCTGCCATGCCGACCGGTACCTAATAATAGCCACCACCCGGCATGATAGCAATTTGTCCGCGGTAGTGTTTGTTTAGCCCCCGTTTGAAAAAAATAGACAATATGCCAAAAACTAAGTCTAATTTGGGTTCATCCATAACTCAATGGGTTGAGCCTTACAATCGTGACAAAACTGTGTTTACCACTAGTGGATTAGTAGTTTATTGTCAAGTTTGTGATCGCCAGGTGTGTTGTAACAAAACAATTCAAATAACGCAACATGTAACCACAGAATTTCATTTGAAATGTTTGAAAAAACGTTCTAACAGTAAACAAATATTTTTGAAGATGAAACCAAACCAAAAACATCAAGTTTTAATGAAGATCTGTGTTTGAGCCTCGTAGCTGCAAATATACCTTGGGATAAGCTACAAAATCCAGTCTTCCACGATTTTTTACAAAATTATACAAAAATACATTCCTGATGTATAGTTTACGAAAGTATTTCTTACATCCATGGTACGTAAAAACAATTGAAAAAATTAGAGAAAAAATTGGGGACTCGTATTTATATTTAGTCGTTGATGAAACTACAGATATTAACGGTAGTTATATTGCAAACCTATTAGTTGGTGTGTTAAATGAATAAAATCCTAGTAAACCATTTTTAATTTCATGCAAAAATTCCGATGCAGCGCCATATATGATCAAAGCTGGTAAAACACTAAAAACGTATTTTTTCCTAATATAATACACTTTTCATGTCTTGCTCACATGATCCAGCGTGTAGCAGAAAAAGTAAGAGAAATGTATCCCAATGTAAATACTTTGGTAAGTAATTTTAAAAAAGTATTTCTTAAAGCACCTCTGCAGAGAGTAGATGTATAAAAATAAATAATGCCCAGTGTCTTAATGCCTTTGCCGCCAGAACCAGTACGAACCAGATGGGGGACATGAATTGAAACAGCTAATTTTTGTGCAGATCATTTTGCTGATCTTAAAATAATTTTACAGAAATTCGAAGATAAAAATGTTGTTAGTATACAAAAAGAAAAATGTATTAATATGATAAGTTTCCATACTGTTAAAAGTGACCTTATCAATCTCATTTTTTGATACTAGTGAAAAGTATTAAACATTTCTAGTTTAACTTTGTCTGATTCTACTCAAATTGTAAATAATGTAATTTTGGCGATAGGAAAATTACGAAAAAAAAAAAGGAAAAATAATTCAAGACGAATTGTATTATTTAATTTAAAAAAATTTTGGATTCCAAATCGCGAAGCAGATAACAGCGATTTTGTCAGAGAAAGAAAACAGTATCATGCCACCAAACTTCACTCCTTCTATGTATTCATGTATGAAGTTTACATCGATAACTTCGGTGGATGTGGAAAGKTCGTTTATTACGTATAAATCAATTCTAACTGAATTATTTTTTTTTAATTTTCTATTATTTTTTTAGAGTTATTTTAAATGTTCTAAAATATTTATAGAGAATTTTAGTTTTTTTTTTTATTTGTATTCTCATTTTTAAGTTTCCTAAAAGTTTTAGATTGATTTAAAACATAGCAATGGATATTTAGAATTTTTTTTTTTTGATAAAATATTTAGAATTTTCTTTAGTGTAAAAGTGTGTTGCGGTTTTTTAAAAATAAACTCATTTTATAAAGTTTAACATAATGCATATAATTTCATATTTAGCCAATTTTTCTTTGCATCTTTTGCATCATATTTGACACTTTTTAGATGCATATAAATCCGGGCTCTAGTCTTTATCAAAAACAAACAATATAGGTAAATATTAAATAATAATATTTATAGTAATCACAAAAATTGTTTTCTATTAAAGGATATTAATCATTTAATGTAAATAAATATCGTGACCTATAGATAATTAATGTACTCTTACAATGCAGTAAGATAATATAAATTAAAAGGCACCTACACAATATATATAATAATAATAATAATAACAATGTTAAACAATTAATAGTTTTTATACTTAAAAAAAAATAATACAATATTTAAAACATTAATAATATTTTAAGTAACGACATCTTGAGCAAAACTGAATAGCAAAATTAAATTAAAATATACATTTTTGTGATAGTTTACAATACTAATATAAATTAGTTATAATATATATTAATATAAATACTATTATTAATGTACATTTATAGTCATTAAATTGGCAAGATAAAAACTTGTAATAAGACAATAAATATAAAACATAACCTATACCTACTATTCCAACTATTTTTACAATCTTATTTTTCCTGATATAATATCTGTGTATGCTTCGATAGTCAATTCTTGATAAATGCCCTTGCTATTGCAGTAATACACTTGATCCTTAATCCGGTCAATATCATATCCATCTTTTTGTAAGTCTAATTTTTTCAATTTATATGTACCTGAAACAGCAATACATATAAATTCAGTACTTATTTTTGGTCAATTGATGCTGAGCAAAATAATAATTTACCAGTCATTTCAACTTCATTGAGTTTTCTAATGAACAATGGCCGTGCATAGCTTGGCAGAGCTTTTTGTAATCCATCTGATAAAGTGGATACATCCAAAGTATTATCCTTATCCACAATAGCAGCCATACCAGCACGACCCTCAGAATTAGGCACCTGGTTAAAAATAATATGAAAATAACGAATTCATAAAAATTATTACTTATCATGTTAAACTTTAAATACCTCTACTCCATAAACAACACAATCACGATAACCGGCAATATTACTAACAACTCCTTCGACTTCAGCAGTAGATACATTTTCACCTTTCCATCTGCAACAATAAACAAATCAAATTAATTATTTTATATTTTTTTTAAATTTCTTTTCATCAAACTAAATTAGCTTAAGTAGTTACATTATTCATTCATTCATTCATTATTCAATTTAGGTAAACGGACAAAAAACTGCCAAAAACGTTTCCTGTGTCTGTACTGGCCGTATGTATTTACCTGAATGTGTCCCCGGTTCTATCTTTGAAGTACAGGTAACCCCATTCGTCCGAAACGAGCAAATCACCAGATAGAAAGGCAGCGTCTCCCTTATCGAACACGTCACGCACAATTTTCTTCTTAGACTCCTCGTTGTTGACGTAGCCCAAAAACTGTCTAGATGGGTTGGTCGAGATAATTTTTCCAACAATCACACCCGGTTCACCTGAAACAATTGCACTATTTGTATTATACCAATGATCGTATATTGTACGCAATAGAACAATTTGCTGGACAAAACACATCTCAATCGTATTTTGGAACATTGTTGTGTTTTAAACTAATATGGTGTGGGTCACATAACTGTAGGTACATTTTTAACAAAAATCCGATTATTATTACGATTGTTTGGTCGTTAAATTTCAGCCTTTATTATACATTTTATATGAATGAGCAGAATATTATGTTTTACGCTTGAGTATCGAATTTTGAAAAGATTTATTTATCTATTTTTTATATTTGTACAAACTTATTTATATATGTAAACATGTAAGTGGACCACAAATATCCTATCTAAAACTTAAAGGCTTAGCTTCCTATCGTTTTTAAAAATTAATTTGATTAATATTCAATATTTAAATATGAGTATATCAACATTTTGAAAAGAAGTAACCTTTTCCAGATTATACGTCATAAAAAATTGGAATGTTAATAAAAAGAAAATTATGAAATGATTTAAAAAATATTATTCAGTACGGGATGTAGACTGTTAAGGGTATACCCGCTTCAAAGTTCAAACTTTTTGAAAACAAATTGTTGAAAAATATGACATTTGACCGAGACGAATAGTGGATTTTTAAAATTCACATATTATGTAAATGTATGGTAAGAAGTTTAATGTAGTTTAGTGTTACACAAATAAAAATAAAAATAAATGACTATATGAAAACAGATGAGCTGGTCTACTTTCTCAAGCAGCTGATCTCCATCCGATTCGTTCGTACCTGGGTTGCAACGAGTGCAAAGTCCGTCAGCATTTCGGATGGGTTCACACGTCTCTGGGTTTACCCGTATAATCGATATTGGATATATGCTGGGTATCAGTCTGGATACGAAGCCAATAGCTCCGAATGTGTTGTCTGTATTGGCTGCGGACAAAGAAAATAATATGCAATATAATATAATTACATAAACACATCCACAAAAATGGCAGCAGTGGTGCTGAAAAGTGGGAAACACGTAAACGGTTGGAATAAATTGTCCGAAAATACTATCGTAAATCGTTCAAAATTGTTTAGAGCGTAAAATAAATACAATGTTTTTATTGTTATGTTTATTATTCAAATATAGCCTCATATGATAAACATAACATAAACTACCTGACCCTAACCTACAAACAATCGACTAGAGCAATGGTATTCTAACTAGTCGATAATTTCGAAATCTTTAAAAATGAACATCTATTAACCTAATTTAAGTCAATACTTTAAAATTCAAATCATTATAGTTTCGATTAAGGTATTGAATAGTTTCAAAATTTTTGATTATAAGTCATAGAAGGGAAGCATGCATGAGTATATAATGTAGATCTGAGGTACGTATACTTCGGTGATACTTGTGGTAATTGTTAGTTATAATTTTTAAGTACCTACCTTTATGTATAACCAATTAGTACAACTATATTGGCTGTTATATTTTTTTTTTTTTTTATCATTAAAAACATTTACACCTACGTACAGCTTAAATAAATGTACACCAAAAAAATATTCACAACATTTTACGATATTATAACAATTTTGATAAGATATATAATTTTTTTTTTATGCATTGTAAGTCTCCCGGAGACTGTCTCCAACCTTAACAGAGTATTTTCACAGAAGTTAAAGATTATTAAATGAGTTTACCAATGTTTGCGTTTCCCTCCGTTGATCCGTAGAACTCTGCGACTCGCGGTACGTTAAATCTAGACACGAATTCTTTCCATATCTGGGGTTTTAGACCATTTCCGAATATGATTCTCAACTTGTGGTTTGTATCATCAGCTTTAGGCGGAGTGGCCAAAATATAGCGACACATTTCACCGATGTACTGAGCTGCCTGCAATGTATACGAACATAATTAAAATAGGTAAGTACCTACATATGGAGCGGTATTAAAAAAATATTTGTAACTTAATAAATATAAACCAAAAAGTTTTTTTTTAACTACACTCAAAATATATTATTCATTTCACCACAATTCTATATAAAATATATGTAAAAATGTATTTTAATTTGTAAATAAAATGTAGTCTACTCTTAGTGTGGTTAGAACTTTACCACAACATACACTATACATTCAAGGATAACCACTATTTTTTTATTAAATTAACGGATAAACTAGAAATTAAACTTTTAAATTATTCACACAAACGAACACTAAGTGTCCAGGGTTTTTATAAACCAGCAACTAGGAAACAGATGTTTGTTGGTCACGCCTACACTGAAAGTGAAGTTTCTGGTGACGGGCGATTGTAAACTCTCCCGATTTTAATGGCATGTAAACTCTCCCGGGTTTAGTCCAATACTACCTGACGGGAACATGTAAACTCTCCCGGGTCTACTTCAGTACTACTAAGCTAGCTGGGGAGCATGGGGTATTATTCATTTTACACAGTTAGAATTGGTTGAGCCATTATAGTTGATATCGTTTTAAATATTTAAATTAAAAATACTCTAACSGTAATTAAATATTTAAATGACAAATACAGGTTAACACAAGATAAACACAGATTAAATACGGTAATACAATTCATAATAAAAATTATAATCACAATCTCTGCAGTGTAGCAAATTCATAAAGTAGCAATAACATTTAAAATAACTCGGGAGAGTTTGCACATTTCTTTCAGGTAAACATAATATTTACCCGGAAGAGTTTACCATTGGGAGAGTTTACTAGTTTTAAAAATCGGGAGACTTTACCATACAATCGGGAGAGTTTACCACCGCCCCTGGTGACAGTTGAAACGTTGGAAAGTGACCTTTTTCCAAGGGGTGGTAAAGTAAGAACCCCCAAAGTACCGAGCGGTAAAAAGGAAATCCCCAAACAGTGCTAAATGTATACACAGTGTATCACATATGCACAATTAGTCGCTGAAAGCTATACAACGGTCCTTACAAAATATTAACTTTTGATTACATCTTATATTCATATTATAACCTTCTTGCATGAAACGTGATCATTTAAACATATTTTATTTATTTAAATTAAGATGAAATAAAGAAGGCAGTATAATATTTTATACTAAATAAATCATTCTCTGGAATCGAAGAAAGTTGTGTAACGACAATACGACATAAATATTTTATTCCACCGGCCACAAAAAATTGAGTTGAGGGCCGCGTGTTTGACATGCCTGCTATACACGATCTTAAATAAGACCATACTTCCGCATATAAGAGCGTTGAATGTTACTAAAAGTTCATCAATCTGCTAATGGTTGTTATACCAAAAATAAAAATAACATAATAATTTCCGTGAAATGATTTTCGTAAAATATAGTCTGGTTGTTTGGTTGTTGCAAAAGATACTCACAAGCATGACAAAAAATAGTATGCGTGGCTCGTGCGGGACGACAATTTTAGTCTCACACCTGCCACAAAATATATTATTGTTTCGAGATTAAGTAAACCAACAAAATAAGACTTTATGAATTTCAAATTATTATAGTAGGTATAGGTAGTTAGGTAATATTTTTCAAACATATATATTTAAAAAAACATCATTGGCAGAGGCCAGAGACTAACATGATACCTAGACACCTTATACCAGAAGTTCCTAAACTGTGCGCCGTGGTGTGTTGTCAGGGGAGCCGCGGCTGTGCATCGCTACCAACTATGTTATCTGGTCTAAAAATAAACAACGATATTTTACGATGACGAACACGATCATTTTTATTACCATTATCTTGATTCCTAAAATAAGCTATTATTACTATACTAATCAATTATTGTATTTGATGATGATAAACGACTGTTTACTGTCTGGTGAAATTCGTTTCTGCTTTAGTACCTATTTAGTATTTATTACCTATACTCCGGTATCAGTCTCGGTGTGTTATAATATTTTGTTCAAGTTTCTTAAGAATATATATTTAGTAAGTTCTGTGATTTTCTTTAAGWTGTGACTTTGTTCTGTGTTTAATTATTATGGATCGATTTTTATTTAATTGTTTTCTACAAATCAACTATGTCTAATTTACTTTACCTAATAAAATTAAAATTAAATATTTCAGTGTATAATTATTTAAATTAATATTTCCATATTATCTATTGAAAATTATGCATGTTTGTTATTTTAACTATTTTATTTACAAAGGTCGTAATGAGCAAACTTCAGTTCTAAAAGGCCGCCTCGAGTAGGAAAAGTTTGGGAACTTCTGCCTTATACCTTTTAGTATATTATATTGTATACAATCGATGCTAATACATAATAATATATATTTTATAAATCGTGCTAAACGATGACTTACGGTACAGTTGTACTTGGAAATGTCTTGGAAGTACCCAGAAGCGGAAAACTTTTTTCGTATGACTGTGGTACAGCCGTAAAGAAGCGATTGGCCGATACACATTATACCGGCAGCGGTGTGGTACAGCGGCATTGGTGTGTAAAATCGATCACTGTACTTAAGTCCCACTTGATACGCATAAGCACCGGCGATGAAAATATATCTAAAACAACCAGTTTAGAAACTTTAGAATTTGTATGGGTAAATATTATATATTATGTATAATGAGTAAGTCAAATACTCGGTAAAATTCAATTTGAGTAGATAAAAAAAAAAAAATTAAAACTGTTAATTATTTTATTTTTGTTCTAGTTGATTTTTTAGAATATCGACTTTTTTAGAAGCTAGAGGTACTTTTTTTGATTTTATTTTATTGAAAACTACTATGAAAATTAAACTAATGAGGAATTTGAAATACACTATCTTATGTTTGAGTTCCAATCGACCAAAACCAATCACTTGGAGTTTGATTTGAGGTTTTATTTACAGCCTACATAAAATAAAAATACATCTGTTTTTGATAAATTCTAATTTTTAAATATTTATATCAGCGCATGTGCTGAAATATAAAAATTTCATAAATAGGAACCACTATTTTTGGGACTGAATCTGAATTATTTTATTTTTTCCGAGGAATTGATATTTATAGGTTTTTAATAAAATTGAAATTTTTAGGACAGTCGAAAGTTCTGAACTGTTTTTAAATGTCCCTATAAAAAATAGTCCAATGGTGTTATGTCAGATTATTTAGGGGTACAGGGCCATATTTCCCCATCCATTTATGGMCAAAAGTTTGGTTAAGGTATTCTCGAAACTCGAACAACTATAGCATTATGGGTTGGAGCCCCATCTTCTTAGAAAAATAAATTGAATTATATAAAAATTTCAATTTTGAAGATTTCAAAAACTATAAATATCAATGCTTCTCATAAAAAAATAAAGCAATCTAAATCCAGTCTCAAAATTAATGGTTCCTATTAAGAAAATTTTATTTTACTGCGCATGCGCCGATAGAAATAGTTAAAAATTAGAATTTATAAAAAACAGATGTATTTATGTATCCTGTAAACAGTGAAAAAAACCCAAATCAAACTCCAAGTGTTGCGTTTCGAAATATTTCCTGTTACCTTTAAAATTGAACATACGGTATATGAAAGAAAGGTAGTTTTTTTATCAATAAATTGGTGGGTGGGTCAAATGTTTGTTTATTGTCTGTTTACCTAAAGCAAATTGCAGAAATGTCATTACCTGACGTTGGTTATGATGGCTGCTTTCGGGTAACCGGTGGTACCGGAAGTGTAAATGTACAACAATTTGTCGTTGTAACCCGGTTTTTCTGGCGGGTTTGGCGCGGACGGAGACGCTTTATCCAGAAAGTGGTTCAAGTAGGTACCGTCGTTGACGGGCGGTGTAGTACTCGAAAATTTAAACAATTTAATATCGTTGTCCAGTTCGCCTTTGATATCGTCAATGTCTGGAAAAAGTATTAGATTAGATATATCTTATTTTAATATTTGAAAAAAGTCCTATCAAGAAGTTTTTATTTGGAGACTATATGCCATCACTACAGTTATTATAATAACTATTGTAGATTATAGAATATAATGTAATTGTGGTTTGGTTTTATATTATATGGTATTAAATAGTAAAATATACAATAAAAATATAATGAAATATTTAGTGAATTAATTAATATTTTCCAAACAATATTTAAGTGTAAAGAGAAGATTCTCATATTTTAAAATAATCTTATGCTAATATTTATTAGTCATGCTTTTAAAAATTTAATAAATTCAAAGCATTTTTACATTTTTTTCCTCAAAAATAAAATCACTGATAGTATGAAATTGAATTTAAAAGCATCTTGCTTTTTATCTCTTTTATGCGTTTGTCATGTTTATAGTTGAAATAGATATGCCATGAATGAATTTGCAAAACGGCACTGCAAAAATATATACCAAATGCATATAGCTAAAACCTTAAATATAATATATAGTGCTAAAAAGGTAAAATAACAAAACACGCTAAATTAAGTCAATAAAACAGTTAAAAAACACTTTCTCTGAGTACTTTATTATAAATTTCAATCAACAGGTATGTATATCATATATAATGTCATAAGAAATTGCGGGGAACCGCATTTAAAACCGTTTGTTTATGAAATGTTTTCATCCAATATTTAGACATCAGAGAGTAAACCTAAAGTGTTTGTAACGACTGTCTTATTTACTATACGTTTACGTCGTACGGACTTAAAGCAAGAATGCTCAAAATGCAAAGACTACTGTGATCTCTATTGTATTTAGAACATTATATACGTGTAAACCTTAATGATTCTTAGGCATTATTTGAAAATATTAATAATGTAAAGTTATTGCAACCGATAGTCTGATGGTGTGTGTGGAACCTTATTATGTTCATCGGTAGTTCTCATCTCTAAATTAGTTACCAAAATCATTAATTTAATGGACATTTCTCGTTTATTAAATCCAAAAATTAAGAAGCCATTTATTCAAAATGTAAATTATAATAAGAATATAACAAAATATTTAATATAAAGAAAAAAAGAAAAAAGCGGGAAAGTGGATATCGCTCTGCTGTACAGTAGGTTACAAGTGGGTTACTGTAATGGATGGAATTTAATTTGAATCCAATAATATTATACGAGTATCATTGTATACAAAAAACAATTCTAAGCGGAGACAGTTTATCTATCTAGGATGTATTATAGATTATCATTACTTATTATTAATATTTAATTTGACTTTCTGGAGGAAAGTTTTTTATGATAAAAGTAGACAAACTTATAAGGAATCTTGAATTCAATTTTCAAATGTTAGATTTAAAACGAAAATATTTATGAATTTCTATCTAAGATAATTTGAACATTGCCGTAATTTTTACGTATATAGTAAAAATTTGAACTTTAAATGCTTATAAAAAAAATCGTGCCTATGTATTTTTAATATTTTTCAACTGCTGTTGTAACAATGTGTTAGGAGCCTTATATAAATTTTGATGCTTTTTGACCCAACCAAAAATATTTGAAATTAAAATGTCAGTAAACAGCTCAAAACTAATCAAAACATTTTGAAAATCTTATCAAATATATAAAATGCCTATTGTATTAAATTTTCAAGCCAACAAATACATTTTTATCGATATAAATTTAAAAAAATAAAATTATTATTATCGAAGATTGCATATACTTATAAATTGTTCAACTTGGGTCGAAAGGATTTTTGAAAATTGCATGGTGGATAGAATATACTTATATAAAAATTCGGTGAAAATTGCATGTATCTATGTATCATTTGTTTTAAAGTTACACAAAAAAAATAGTCAGAGGTACATTACAATAAATTGGTAAGATTCACAGCCCATGACAATAAAAAATCTCATTACATTCATAGGTATAATAATGATGTATTGATTAATGTAATTTATATAAAAAAAACTATACAATAATACTTCTAACCTGATAAATGGTAGTTATTTAAGTTCGGGCTGTTTGCCTGAAATGATTTGTACAAATACGAAATACGTAGGTAGTTGAATTTTCATATAATATATTCAACTGTACGATTTAAGTAAAAGCGAATATATATTTTCAGTAAT